CAAAATCTTTAAAAAATTGAATCAGGGGTAGGGATATAAAATGTACTGTAAAAGGAAACTTATAGTATATGCAGTGATTTCTTTAAGGCTATAATTCTGATAAATAAGTATTGTTGTGAGAAAAAGTGTTTTTAGAGAGTTTTCTATTTGATTAAATGTTTGTATAGGTTGCACTTTGTAAATACAGCTGTTTCTCAAACCACGCCTCTTTTGGGAAGATATTTAATATTCATAGGTATGTTAATTTGTTAACGTACTGGTTCCCAATGATGATCTCTGTGTTTCATCTCATAGAGACATCACTTGGGAATGTAACCAGTATAGAAAAACATGGTAGCGGCTAAATTTTAATTCTTAGGAGGTCCAAAAATGGAGGTAAGGGTAGTATAGAATTTTAGTATAAGTTTAAACTCTTAGAAGTTCAGGGCATATAAATGTTGAAAATATGCCGCACAGCCCTATATCTTGACCTTTGAATAAAATAGTAGTGCATATAAACTTTCCGTTCTGGGATATTATTTTTTTACGAAACTTCATAGTAAAATTGTCGCAGTTTTAGCCGCAAAGGGAGTTCCTATGGGAAATTGCATTGTCTGTATTCACAGAATTGCAACCTATAAAAGGCCCGATATGAAAAGAGTGAACAATTCAAACGAAAAAACTAATGGCCTAATTATACATAACAAAACAGTTTACAAATATGAGTCGAGACATGAACCAACGACAACCACTAAATTACAGGCTCCTGACCTGGGACAAGCAAATAAAGAATATGGTAGGGTTGATATAAAAACGAAGAAGTGGTATGATTGCAAATGAGACAACTCTCCACAAGAGACCATATTACACAGAAATCAACAGCTATAAGTCACCGTACGGCCTTCGACAATTAGCAAAGCCTACACCGCATAGTCAGCTATAAAAGGCCCCGAAATCACAAATGTAAAACAATTCAAACGAGAAAACTAACGGCCGAATTAATTTACAAAAAATGAACGAAACACAAATATGTATAACGCAGCAACAAACGGCAACCTCTGAATTACAGGCTCCTGACTTGGGTCAAGCACATACATACAGAATGTGGCAGGGTTAAACATGTTAGCGGGATCCCAATCCTCCCCCTAACCTGGGACAGTGGTGTAACAGTACAACAACATGTTTATGAGCACTCAACCCATCCCGAAGCTGGGACAGTGGTGTAACAGTACAATAAAAGAACAACCTGCACTAATCAGTTGCAATTAATCAAAAGATCGGTACGAGACACACAAAAAACCCAACATTAAGACAATAGACACAAAGCACCGACATGAGAGTATTTTCAATTACTCAGTGGAAGTTTGCTCAAAGCTAATAACAACTAGTACTGAAATAAATCTTGTTCTCCCAGACTGAAGTATCAATCAGTACACAAAGCGCGGCAAAGGATTTATTAAAAAAGAAAACAGTCTGAGAAACGTCTGGTTTACGTTGTATATAGATATAAGAAGATGTGGTATGAGTGCCAATGAGACAACTCTCCACCCAAGTCATAATTTGTAAACCATTATAGGTCAAAGTACGGTTTTCAACACGGAGCCTTGGCTCACACCGAATAGCAAGCTATAAAGGGCCCCCCAAAAATGACTAGTGTAAAACCATTCAAACGGGAAAACCAACGGTGCCGTCTAATCTATTTAAAAAAAACACGATATACTTGGATATAGATCCATATACAATGAAAGTTTTTGAAAAGTTGTGGTCCGAACGTTTTGACAATCGAAATTTTGCAATAGAAATAATAGTTAGGACCAGAAGATGCAGGCCAGTGCAGGACTCGCACGAACGCCAGATTTAGTTCGAGGGGCGATATTCTGACGCGTTTTTTTAATTCTTGGTCACTTATGTGTAGAAAGAAAGGGGAGAAATCCAAACAATTACCGACCAATCACAAACGTTGTTGCAAATTTGACCTTATGACGTCAAAGAATTTCCCATAATGCAATTATTGCATATAAATAAAAAACTACTATACCAATTGAATAAAAAATATTGCATTAAAATGACAAGTTATACCAATTGAATAAAAAATATTGCATTTGAATGACAAATCATACCATTTGAATAAAAAATATTGCATTTAAATGAAAAAATATACCATTTAAATGAAAAAAATATTGCATTTAAATAAAAAAAATATTGCATTTAAATGAAAAAATATTGCATTTAAATGAAAAAATATACCATTTAAATGAAAAATATACCATTCAAATAAAAAAATATATCAATTAAATAAAAAAATATTGCATTTAAATGAAAAATATCAAATTTTTGCAACCAATAATATCCCATATTCGTTGCGCGTTTTCGAAACAGTATGTACACTTCGTTGCTAAAAAATATCAAGAAGAAAATATGTTGTCTCCTTTGAAATACCCATCTTATATTTTTTGTAACGACTTAACTATCAGTTGACATTTCCCACGGTCGGCCGAATGTGTTATACCATCTGGAGGTCTCGTCGACGCCTTCGTGACCAAGTTCGAATACATCGTACTCTCAATACAACATCGTATAGCCTTCGTGTGTCCTGCGGGTAAACATCGTTATAAAAATTCACATATTCGTGCTGCCTTAGTGTATGGTTTGGGTGCCATCGTGTGACCTTCTGTGAGCATCTAACTTGCTTCGGCTGATAATTGGCTGTTGACAAAGTTCTGACATTCTTCGCGCTAAATTCAAAATTCCATATTCGTATGGCCATCTGGTGTCAATTTCGGGACAGTGTAACGCCTGCATAATAAGGATTGTGCATATGATTCTACCATGTAATTCATTTTTATTAAAATGCAAATTAAAATAAACAGAAATAAGTACTTTTTAATAAGAAATCAGAGAAAATATGTTTAAATTTACAGATGCCGAGAATGTTATTTTGTATAAAGTGTTTGGATTTAAACATAAACTGATGTGAAAACGTAACCAGTCAGTCACGCTAAAAATGTAGGTCGTTGTGTGAACGCTCTTCATTATCCAAGATGCATTCATTAAAGACGTTTCATTAGGATGTGATGTATAGTACACTAGATATAGACCGAAACCTAAAACTTAAGCATAGTTTTTGGTGACCATTAATGTGCTTAACTGTGCAGGGTATGTGTATTCAATGATGAAATATCATTGGAATGGATAAATTTAACCCTTCATGTATATCCTGATGAATAATTAAAAACTTAAAATTGAATATTTTTAGCAATACATGCTCTTATTTTTACGGAATTAATTTTTGTACAAGAACATTATCTTTTCGGAATTTACGTACAAGCACATCATACTTTCGGAATTTTGGTCCTGATTGCTCTTTAACCTTGTTTTTTTTTTGTTGTTGTTGGTTTTTTAACCTTTTTGATTCGAGCGTCACTGAAGAGTCTTTTATAGACGAAACGAGGAGCGTCTGGCGTAAAAATATAAGCCTGGTATCTTTGATTACTATATTATTCAACAATAGAGTAAAAGCGATGTCTCAATCAATCCTTTCTATTCATATCATTTATAAATTTGTGATAATTGTTCTGATCTATCGCTCCATATGTTGATCGATCAAGAAGCATTTTTCTTGTAAGCAATTTGATGCCTGTACAAATCATTTTGTTGGGATTTGGGAAATATTTGGAGTCGTTTTATATATTAAAAAAAATAAAACTTCTTATCCTTTTGGATTACAGATACTAGTCCACATGAATCTTTATTTTGTAATATATCAACACCGATCAAACTAACATGTGGTAATTTAGCAACACAAGACAGTAATGCCTATTGGAGACATCAAATAAACTCAACATTTATTAGGTCAATACCATCAAATGATCCTAAACTACGATTGGATTTGTTCATCAAGTCTTGCACCCTGCAAGATATGGGTGTATATAGTTGCATTGTAAACGAAGCAGAGACTGACCTAAGTTTTCCAGAAATGCTAGAGCAAAGGAAAATAATTTTCCTTCGAATAACAGGCAAGTAAATTACCGTTACGATTAATATCAATTTAGAAATTTGCAGTCGGTGAAATTATGTTTAATCTTGAAACCATCTTGGTTACCTGTATTTGCTATAACCACTATTAAGTTACTTTTAAACGTTTACAATTTCTATTTGTGTTTAAAATGTTACAACCAAACCAACCAGTCTACTGAATCATTTATAAAAAAGGCCGTATGATTGTCAATTATACAAATATCAATAAAAGACCAACGGAAGCATATGTGCATGTTATTATGAAATGTACGAGATTTGCCTTGAATCAGTCATCAGAAAGGATTTAGACATGAAAAATTTTGACTGGCTCAGATATATAAATAAGAAGATATGATGCTTATAGGTTTAAAAGAAAACCGTAATGATCCGAAAGAGACATTGTGTTGTTTACATACTATCCTAAATTATAATTATAAAATTAAATGAAAAATCAATGAAATTTTCTTTAAAGTAGAAGCAACCAATGTAAGCAACAAACACACCACCTTACTTTTTTTTCTTTCTTTTCCATTACAATTAAATATTTTGATGATAAACAAGGTATGGTCAATGCATTCGTTTGCTTTTCATGTTTTGGGTTGCATTTTCATTTACGCATCATCTCCTTTATCAAGATTCATAAGTTTTGAAATGTATAAATATTAGACAGTTTGTTGGCTTTTAATACCTATTTTGCTACATATGCATTTCGTTTTAATTGTGTACCATGTACTTTTTCCATTGGAGAAATTCGATGTCTAAAGACAAGTTTTAAATATGTAACCTTTTAATCTGGAATACAAACCAGATCCAACAAAGACTTTTGTTACATTACACGTATTCTGTGAGATAATTCCAATGTAAATCGTTTCGACATAGTAACATTTAATAATTGATATTAGAAATGAGATACGAGATATTTAAGTCTCTAGTTTAATAATTAATACCGTTTTATACCTTTATCATGTTGTTTTAACTTTCATTTTAACCTGTATTTTCAGGTCGCCCAGAACTCTTACAAAATGAGGTTGTATACCTCAGAAATGATGTCGTGTTCTCCTTGACTTTCTATTCAAGTGAAGAATCAAATATAATAACATGGTACAGACAGTGGATACGACTGGTTAATTCAACAAAGCAAGTACAGACAACGAAACCGACAACTCTTCATTTTCTAGTTCGTGGTAAAAATGTATCAGTAGACGGATTTCAGAGTTATCTTGTCTTAGGAAATGCAAAAGAGCATCATCTGTACAATATTAAGATATGTGTGAAAAATAAGTATGGCATATCTTGTTATAGATATCTTGAGTCAGAAGGTAAATCAAATCAAATTTATCTATATTTTTGCACGGTGGAGTTTTCTTCAATTAGTTCCCTTATTGTAGTGGGCAAGTGAAACATTTTTGATATTTGTTTTTTTATGAGATTCGGCATCAATGTCCCGAGACGTGCCTTGCACATGCTCCGTAACACAGGTTTCCATATCAATTTTCTTTAGTAAAGTTGTTGTGGTTTTTCCAAGGCATCGAAATTACGCTAAAGACAGATATTTACATGAACTTATAGAGATAAGGGCATTTTGTGCTTCATGGTTGTCATTGTTCATATGTTTATTTATTCTATAAACATATTCGCATGTACTTTATATATGTATTGATATATAAAATATATATTAAACGCCGACTCAGTCAGTCTGCATGGCTAAATGCATTCATTTTGTTAGTTGTTATTGAAGTGTAGTTAAGACTTAATTTTATGTTTCAAAATGGGTACATATGTGATACTTTTTTTTTTTCTGTTCGCGTTTTCCTGTTACATTATTGTATGCATAATGAAAATAAAAGTATTTGAGGTAATAGGTTGAAGTCCCTTTGGTATCTTACCCCTTTTTTCTTAATGGATTTTTGTGATGGTGCCACATGTTGAGCAGGCTCTGCTTACCCTTCCGGAGCACCAGAGATCACCCCCGATTTTATGTTGGGTGTGTGTTGCTCAGTCTTTAGTTTTCTATGTTGTGAATTGTGTACTGTTTTTTCTTTTTGTCTTTATTCTTTTGCCATGGCGTTGTCAGATTATTTTCGACTTCTGAGTTTGAATGTCTCTTTGGTATCTGTCGCCTCTATTTTTGAACATCGTTAAAGTACTGTTGCATTATCTACCGTCTCATTCTTTGAAAATTTCTTTGATTGCTTAAGTGGTCCAGGATGCCACCAATGCCAACAATGGTGACATTTTTGCAAGGCAATATGACAAGTTTTTTTTCTGTGAACTTTTGATTGGTAGCTTATTACTAGTAAAGTACAGAGCTTTTGTTATATAACAATCATAGAATTAAAGATTTAAATAATATTGAAACATTTTTAAAATTTAAATCATCATATGCCATCGGGTTTGATTTGTTTCTCTCAGTCGTAACAACCTTGTGAAGACATGCCACATGTAGAGCAGGATCTGCGTACCCCGCTGGAGAATCCCTCCCGGTTTTTTTTTATAGGGTTCGTGTTGCTTAGTCTTTTGTTTTTTTATGTTGTGTTTTGCATACTGTTGTTTGTCTTTGATCGTTTTCATTTTCTGCCATGCCACTGTCATTTTATTTTCGATTAGTGAGTTTGAATGTCACTTTGGTATCTTTCACCTCTTTCATTTTCACTTAACATATTAAATTAGATACACACCTATCAACATCTTCTGCTTATAATATATAATTAGATTGTTTATTTCAGAAAAAGAAATGCAGCAAACCTTCCACATAATCTGGATAATAGCAGTTGTTGTAGTTATATTATGTGCTGTTGGTTTGGGGTTATTGTTTTTCCGAAAGCGTTCAGGTATCGATTTGCAACTAATTGAAACAATATTTGATATCGAGTAAATCTGTATTTGAGTTATAACCCATATTAGACTTTAAATCATTAACATTTAAATTTTACAGGAAGGTCATGTATGTGCAATAGCTTTCATTTCAAACGAGGAAATATTTTGAATGAACGATAGTTTTTGTTTCCAAACTGTGAGATAATAAGTAATATTTACTTTAAGTGAACAAAGTATTGAATACGAATGTCATCGTAACAAATATCAGTCAATCATTATAAAACCTCCCAACCAGTTAAATAGATACAAGAGATATACGACGATATTATTTGTTATACATCGAAAACGGTTACAATAATAGACGGATAAAATGCACAAATATGAAGAAAAGAAATCTTACTAAACCGTTAGATGGTTAGATGGTTTGTTATCTATTTTAGCGCAAGACAGAAATTGCTACAACAATTTCTTTTCTTAAACACGATGAGAGTACCGAAGAATCAGAAAGTAATGCATGGATTTGTGGACACAAGTATGAAAGCTTATTGAGCAGTTGTGTGTTTACACGAGCACCTTAAAAAAACTTTATCACAACTAGAGTTGATGGTCGCAGTAATTGATGCCCGTTCAGCATACCATCTTCAAACTACATTACACTGTTCAAATATTACATTAAGATCCAAAAGTCAAATCACACTCCTGGTAGACTTGTTTTTGTACTCATATGAAGCAGAATTCACATAGAACCTTCTAACTCACAGATGGCGACATATATGTGCCAATCGTCGTAACCACAATCCCGTCATTCTTTTCCCCGAATATGACCTACCGAATAAGACTTATCACCGGGTTTGTACCTACAAGAGTAACACGATAGATGCCATATGTGGAACAGGATCTGCTTATCCGTCAGGAGCACCTGAGATCACCCCCGGTTGTGCTGGGGTTCGTGTTGCTTAGTCTTCAGTTTCTATGTTGTGTTTTGTATACTGTTGTTTTTCTTTTTCTTTTTTTTTTTGTCATGGCGTTGTCATTTTATTTTTAACTTATGTTTGAATATCTCTTTGGTATCTTTCGCCTCTCTTAATTAACAAAAGGGAACGCATGGAAAATTAAACAAAATTAGCATATATCTATCAATGCACTTATTTGTCGCGTGCTCCATGATTTTGTGTTGATGGTTTATCATTGTCACGAGTCTGGAATAATCTCGAAAGTTAATTAGCTTGCGATTATCAATCACTGAATGAAATATAATTTGTCGATAATACGTTATAGATTCGTAATGAATATAAAAAAAACGTTCATAGTATATATGCATGCATTGGTTCAATAATTTCCTAAACATTATAATTATAAGAAACTCGTTACAAAAGATTTTAACTTTCTAAGTTTCAGACTGTTCAGATGATGTAAAGATCAGAATGACCGCCTAAGACTTAATGTGTTTCGTCAAAATATTCATGTAAATAATTATTAATCAGAGCATTTCAAAAATATTTTACAAATCGTTTTAGAATAACTTGTAACTTCCGATAGAATAATTAATGACTTTTCATGTACTGGATTGTTCTCATTGCAGGGAGTTCTATTTCGATAGAAAATACCACAAACCCTGTTTATCAACTAGTAGACACTCAGCAGGCTAACCAGTGAGTACAATCATTTGTGAAAACTTGAGTATCAAATATGTTATCGATCAAATAGTAATGTAAAGAATCTGTCCAGATAATTCAAACTAGGTTATAGAACTGTAAGAATCTATTCTGTGAAAGAACAGTTATAAGCTCGTTTTTTTATAGTAGCTCTTTTATCGTGATTAAGAACAACTAGGGGCTGTTAAATTGACTGTCGTTGTCAGTCAAATGTTAGATACAAAAGATAACTAGTAAAAATAATAACATTCTTTGATGTATGTATAATACTTAATTTCTTCACGCATATAATTTATTTTTAGTAAAGAATGTTTTATTTAAAGATAATCATGCCAAAGCAGTAACGAAATATAGTATAATAAAAATATTGTTATGCATTCTCGTTAGAAAAACTTTTAAGGTGTTTATCCCAGTAAAATATTTTGATTACACAGAGAAGATATTATTTTTTTTATATAAATTTGCTTAAGTAGTATTGGTAAATTTTGGCACGTGCTAATGTCAACAATTTTAATTGTTCATAAGACAAAAAAAAATAACAATCTAAAGACTGAACATACAAAATACTTAATCATGAAAAGTAAAAACACAATCCTAGATCATCGTATATGAAAATTATATAAACAATTTAGCTTTTAGCTCTTCTTTATGCTTGTATGATCAACTAGAAATACTGTGAGCACTGCTCAAATAGATCCCCCCTCCCCCCAATAAAAAAGACATGCACACACAGTGGTACCCATTGACACAAAACAAAACAATTTTGGCACTACTTAAGCTACCTTAAGTTTTACTAAGGTTGTGGCCTAGATTTTTGAACGAACAAAAATCTATAACCGTCCAATGTGTGAAAAATAGAGAGTTTGATACGATTTTTTAACAAATAATGTTCCATAACTCTACAAAATCATATCAGAAATTTATAAAAAAAACAAAAGGAAGCTTATTTCACTAAATATAAACAAGTAAATTTAGAATGTATTATGAATCATTCTCCAAATGATGAAGTTCAAAAATCTTTATTTTAGATCCCGTGCTAACTGGCATGAGAATGGTGAAAAGTGTTCAAATTATTTCGTAAATTAGAAAATAAAAAATTCATTAAGAAAACTATAACAGAACTAATAAATGAAAAAGGTCAACATCTTTCAGAGCAATCAAAAATTCTGATAGAACAACAAAATTTTTATAAAAAATTGTACTCAAGCAAAAAATTAGATTGCAATAATACATCATTTTTCAATTATAACATTAAGCTTACAGAAGAACAATGTGACTTTTGTGAAGGAAATTTAACTTTTAAAGAATGTGCTGATTGGTTAAAATTGATGAAAAATGGTAAAAGTCCAGGTTCTGATGGGTACACTGTAGATTTTTATAATATTTTCTGGAAAGATATCGATTCTTTTCTCTTTCGGTCTCTTCACTTTGGATATGAGGGTGGAAAATTTTCCGAATTTCAGTATCAAAGTGTAATAACTTCCATTCCTAAAGAGGGAAAAGACAGACAGTTTATAAGTAACTGGCTTCCTGTTAGTCTTTTGAATACTGATATGAAAATATCTCACATCTGTACTTGTTTTTTTTTTAGTGTTTGTAGTTTTTTGAGTGTTTGTGATTTTTTGTGTGTTTTGTATCTATCTGATATGTCAAGTCCTTTTCAACCGATTTTTATAATTTGTACTTATGTTGTTCTATTACACTACTGTCCAAGGTTAAGGGAGGGTTTGGAGCCACCAAACATGTTAAATCCCGCCTATGTATGTCCGTGTCCCAAGTCAAGTCAGGAGCCTGAAGTCAGGAGCCTGTGATTCAGTGGTTGTCGTTTACTGCTGTTTATCATATTTCTTTTTGTTTTTTGTTTTGCTCATAAATAAGATAGTTAGTTTGCGCGTTTGAATTGTTTTACATTTACCATTTCGGGGCCTTTTCAAGCTGGATATGCAGTATGGGTTTTTCTCATTGTTGAAGGCCGTACGGCGACCTATAGCTGTTAATATTTACGTCATATGGTCCCTGGAAGAGAGTTGTCTCATTGGCATTCATACCACGTCTTCTTTTTTTCCTTCATAAAACAGAAATAAAACAATGACGTACACAAATATGATTAGTGAGATAAACTATATGAATATAAATATAAAATTATTAACATTTTAGGTAGATAGAGACGGACTAAAAAGATTATTAAGATAGAACTATCTGGATCTCATGAAGGTTCTAGAGTAAAACGTGTAAAACTGTTAGGATCTGTTCTAGGGTAGAACTGTTCGAATATGCTCTCGGATAGAACTGTACAAGACTTTTCTAGGGTAGAACTACCGGAATATGTTCAAGGTTAAAACTTTTAAAAACTGTTCTGTGATATAACTTCCCAAGCTGTTATACGATAGAACCACTTATACGAAAAATGTTTGTAAAAGTGTCAGGAGAACTGTTCTTATTACTATTCCAACTGACAGTTTCGGCTAGATTTTAGGAGAGGTTGGAGTTTATCGTGACTATAGCATGCATGAACGTTTTACCGTTATATAACATCTGAGTAAACGCTTGAATGTTTGTTGGATACGTGTTGCTCACGTTTTCTATGCATTGTTTTATTGATTATCGGTTAGTTTTTCGTCGTTTTTCTTTTGGTCAAGGTTTTTTTTTATTACCTATGTTTTATTTTATTGTTCGCCTAAAATCCCCTTTTGGATGTTACCTTAGTTGGAAACGATACATAAATTCACTTTTTAACCACAAGAAATACCAGAATTTAAAATTGAAAGTAGCGATTAAAGAAATGAATTTTCTGCTAGGCCATATGAAATTTTTCAAGCAAAAAGTTAGTAACATTTTTGTCAGATTGATAAACATCTATTTGTAAAAATCACTACGAGTCTTGTAGAGCTCATTCAAACTTTTTCAAGTATGTAAACCAGTCACTTACCTAGTATATGAAGAAATTTTGGACTCGCAAATAAGGGGAAATAATTAAGCTGTGCATGTTTAAATATAGGTGAGTTAAATGTTGGCTAAAATTAATGATCTAGTGAGTGCGAAATATTCAAAAATAGATAAATATTAAGAATATAGCCTGAGAATGCTATTTTATGTTATAACGGTCTTAAATCAAGGAAAACTCTCTTTCACATTAAATTCATTGATGCACATTCTATTTGTGCCTGTCCCAAGTCAGGAGCATGTATTTCAGTGGTTGTCGTCTGTTGCTCTATATCATAATTGTTTTTCATTTATTTTTTTATGCATAAATCAGGCCGTTTCTTTTCTAATCTTACATTTGTCATTTCTTGGCCTTTTATAGCTGGCTACCCTGTATGGGTTTTTCTCATAGTTGAAGACCGTGTGGTGAACTATAGTTGCTAAATTTGGTCTCTGGTGGAGAGTTGTCTCATTGGAAATCATACAGCATCTTCTTTTTTTTAGATACCAACCCTTCTCCGCTGACAGAGATGAGCCGCACACGTACGAGATTCCCAACGCTGTGTATGAAGAGTTGAATGAAGACAGACCTTCTCACGACTACAGTACAGCTTCACAATATGAGGAAGTTCACAGTTCAACTATCGAGACCAATTCAATAGAAAACAGAGATAGCTACGAAAAGGTAGCAGATATAGACCGTATATATTTATGCAAAACATATGCCATTTTGTTTGTCGAAATTGAAATTTAATTTCAAGTTTTCGTAAAAAAAAGAACAGTAGAAAAACACTAAATTTTTATTATATGAATATTATCTGGATGATGGAAAAACATGAATTTTCTTTTATTGCTAGAAAATTCGAAAAGAAGTAAACATGTTCTTGTTGTAAATCAAACGCATTTTCGAACATTGATACAAAAATTGAAGAAAAACAAATAAAGGAAAATTTAACAGTACATTGTTTTTCTATAGTAAATGCAAATGAAAGCAATGCAAATTTATTCGGCTTTTTCTCCATTTTTCTTCACAGAAAGTGACAAAAATCAATTCCTCATCATTATAGCATTTTCGTTTTTCTTTATAAATGGAAACTTTAAAATCAAAAATCAAAAGACTTACAAGTACAACAGTTTTTTTAATTTGTAAATATCTCGATAAAAATAAATAATGTTACATTATTGTTGATTTTTCATTTTTTCCCAAAAAAATCACGAACATGAAAATGCTTATAAATGACAAAATAAAAAATGCATCGATGATTTTTCATTCTCTAATTTTCACATCGATATTGAAAAATGGTTTAAAGATTTACTTTTCATTCAATATTTCATCTAATTAACAGTTTAAAAGTGTACAGGTGCATACGTATACATCCCTAAAACGTCATTCAAAAATAGTTTACCTAAAGAAATAAAATAAAAAAGCAAAAAATGGAGAATTTAAAGAATATCAATTAATTGTTGACAACTTGAAAATTGAAAGACCAACATTGTAACAAATCTAATTTTTGTTTTATATACTAAAACAAAGAATATAATGCAGATGGGAACACTTTTTCAATGTTGCATTTTCGAAAGATAAATGAAAATTCTACACTATGGAGTATTTTTCTTTTGCTCACGATAGAATAATTCAAAAAACGTTACTGTGCACACATACATTTATATCTTACGTTTGAAATACTACTGGTTCGACATCGCCTCCCGTCTTTAAACAAGAGCTTCTATACAATTGAATATCTCGAATCCCAACATAAAAACGGCGATTACCTCTGTGGTTCAAGAAGGGGCATCAGTTTCTGTCTAACTAGTGACAGCCGTAAAAAAATGCATTTTGTCTGTATAAATTCATTTCATAAATTTTGTAATCGTATTAAAATAAAAGTGTAAGTTATGAAGGACATAATTTATACCTTTTGAGGTACAGAGGCCAAAAGGTATAAATTAGAACAAACTTGTCGAAAATTTCGGGCTTATAACTCAGTATGCTTCATGTGCTTTACGCACATTTTGTCTGCAGTAGGCGGTTATCAAATCATAACAGTTCAAGATCAAATAAATACTGAGTTGCAACCTTTGTATAATAGAAAAAACAAAGGATATGGGGAATCCATCCATGACACAAAATCAGTAAGCACGATGACAAAAAATGAAGGTTATTCCAGAAACACATGTCGTTGCCCTTTATTTATTTTATGGACGCTTTACGTTTATCAAATATATGCTTATTTTTGAAATTTTGAAAAATTGGATGATTCCTATGTTAATATTTGTTTTTCTTTACAGGTGGATTGATACGAGACATTCTTGCTATCTGGAATCGTAAAAAACAAATAATGACGTTATCATTTTGAAGCCTTTAAACCCTATTGCAATTGCAGGGTCAAGGTGATGTTACTCCAAAGACGTAGTGCAATGATGGACATTGATCTCCTTTTATAGTTGTTTTCTTTATCAGAGGAGAATGAACATGTCTTGCCAGAGAGAGAGAGAGAGAGAGTGAGAGAGGGAATTGTTAAATTGAATGCAATGAAAGCTTGACGTTACTTTCATACAGTATAGTACTAAACCATCAAGTCTTAGCTTGAATAAAAATCACATTGTAAATATAATAGAGAAGCAAGACGAACAAAGGGAATTTGGATTGCATATATTGCTTACACAAATTATAAGATATGAAATGCGTTACCTTCATCGGCAAAATCGAGTCCATCTGTTGATATATTGAAACGGAAATTGAATTCTGACTTACAAAAGACACCTGGATATTTCAACATAGGCAATAGGAAAGAGAACATCATAATCTGTCAGAAGAGATATAGAGCCTGCAACTTGAATTTACACTTGCAGCTTCATAACTTGTCTGACAGATCACAGTTCCCACACTGCCGTTATTAAATGTAAGATTCAAGTCATTTTTTTATGTTATGCCGAGCTTGTGATATTCATAGACAAGCACTTCAAAATGTTTTGATGTGTAAACTATTGTTTATGGTAGTGAAGTTATGGATTGTAAACAATATGTAAAATAAGTACTTGATGTTCAAACTTTTATAAAAAAAAGCAACCGATTTTGAAAAGATAAGAGAAAGTACAGCACATTCTCACTGTTATTGATAAACCTTCAAATATATATTTATTTGATATGTTTATTTGTATTTCTTTTTCACTTTGTATATTTTCATTTCACGAAAAATTTTTTATACCTAAATATTGCTCAACCAAGGTAATTAGACTTTCGAACAATGTTAATTTCATATGGTTAGCATCTCAGCTATCGTCGTTACTTTCGCCATAATTATTATATTATGACCATTGTTGATAATTGTTTGTGATATTGATATTGATATTTTCAATTTGAGATATTTCCCTTAGAGTGTATTTTTCTTTGTACATATGTATATTTGCCATGTTACTTGTTGCTTGTTGCTTTGTATTGGAGAATATGTATATAGGTTTTAGCCTGCTATTGCACCCATTTAAGTTATTTCAGAATAAAATTTGTTTGCATTGAATTAAAATATACTTCTATCCCAAATTACATATAAAAAGAAGATGTGGTATGATTGCCAATGAGACAACTCTCCACAAGAGACCATATGACACAGAACAACTATAGGTCACCGTACGGCCTTCAACAATGAGCAAAGCCCATACCGCATAGTCAGCTATAAAAAGCCCTGAAATGACAATGCCTTGTCTTTGCAAGGATACGTGATTTTCTAGAGAGGGGATGATTTTGAAAATGAATTTCCTGTCCTGGTAAGAGCTGAAAACGAATAACACTACATAAGACAGTATATAGATAACGCAAAGCCGAGAGTTGAGAGCAGAAAAACATTGTCAACCGAGGCGAAGACAGGGTTGACGGTGTCTTTTCAATGGTTAACAATCTGCTCTCTCACCCTCTCAGTTATGTGTTATTTAATTTATTGTACTGAATGTTCTGTTATTACTGTTTATTAAATTTAAAATTCAAAGAAGTAATCAGTGACGTCAGGTACATAACAACTATCCGTATTTAATAAAGCACATACTTGATCAAGGGTCTCCGTGAAGGGTAATAGATTGTTTTGCCATGGGATAGAGTAATTTATCTCCTTCGTATCAACCAATCAAACTCTGGCATTTTTACGTGAAGTTAAATTAAATGAAAATAAATATTTTGCAACATAAAATGCAGGTAACAGTTGTGTACAAAAGTTAAATTAAATTTTCGCGCGGCCAAGCCGTTGGAAAAATAAACATGCTGAGCAACAGTTGAAAATGAAAAGTCAATCCGTAAAAAATACTCCCACTTAGAATATCAATGGATAAAAAAAAAAAAATGGTGGTCCCCTAACTTCGATCCCCAAGTCAGAGCAATATTTCTAGAAACAGACAATGACTTTAATAACTCAGTTGTTGACTTCCTGAAAATATCGGTGCCACCGTCGTACAAAGAATGAAAAACCTCACATACATGTAACGAGTATCTATAAATTTGTTTTTGTTTATTTAAAACAAATCATTAAAGTTTCCTTTACATTATATTACAAATTGTGCTGGCATAAGTTATTGAGAAAGATTGATCACTTACTTTATCCTTGTCTAAATTAACCTCATATGGATAAAACGTCATTTTTTATCCTTTATTCCTTAACAAATAAAATAACATTTTTACTGATGCAGCCAGTAATAGTTTTGGTTTGTTACATTTGGCCTTAATGACGCTTAACTATGGTAACGGCATGCTTGATGTAACCAATCTTTACTCTGACTGGACGAAATTACGGAATTGACAAAAAACCAACAAAAAAAGATATATGCTACAATACAAGGAAAACATTGCGCACATAAAAATCATATTAAAAATGGAATTATCGAGATAAATAAAATAGATTCAGGTAACGAAGGTGTCATTGTTATCACTGTCAAATTGATTATATTGTTAAGGCTTAAACTGTGTTACTTGAGCAGGTAAATAGTATTAATAGCTCGAGTGTTATAAACATATCTTATCGACTTAGTTTACTTGCAAGTGCAGTCTTAAACTTCCAAGGCGTAATAATAATCTCAAAGAGAACAACATAGTATACTTGAAATAAAGGATGTCAAAATACATATATCGCAAATTTGATTACCTGTCAAAAGCTGTACTATATAGATCATTTGCCTTTGGCGTTCCGTCTGTACCCGATATACACACCGACAAAGGTTATATCTCTAATTGTTAAAGTTGTGCTTGACATATAGTTATAATTAACATTATTTCATGGTTCTAAACTGTTTCAAGTTTGTTATGCGTTACACATTGTAACATAATAACATCTTATGTGTATATCTACTTCAAAATAGGTACTTCTTTATTTCTGATAAATATACATATATATGAATTTATGTGAGGTATGCGGAATGAATTTGAAAGATTGCGCATTAATTTTATAATGGGGATTTTGTATAAGTTGTATAACTATTGACGTTAACCGGTTTGGCGGTCAGTATATAAGTTAATTGCACGGGTTTTTAGTTATCGAGGACTGGGTAGTGACCACACAATCGCACGTAATATATATAGGTAGAAGTTTATATTTTATTTTTTTTTTATACAAAAATATTTGTATTCAAGTTTTTATATAGTACAGTATTTAAATCTGTTGTATTTATTTTGTAGATTATTTTGTTACAGAACGTGATATTGTTAAAGATTCTGCCAGGCAGTTTATCTTGTGTTTTTGATGGACTTAATTTTTGTAGTTTGGTGGACTTTTAACCAGATCAGATGCATGTTGTATTAAACTAAAGAAAATTTAAGGTGGTCACTGCGCCATTCAGTATCCAAACTGGTGTTTGTTCTATTGTATTTAGAAAGTAAAGGCTAATGTTGAAGTGTATATAATTGCATGTGCTCAATTATGTAAACATATGTTAAAAATAGATGGAGCTTTTTAGCACATAAATACTTTATGTTTGGTTAAACAAAGTGCATTAAAACATAAATATATATACCTTTAGTTAATTATCTGTTTATATTTCAATTCTATTGAGAAAAACGCATATACTCAACTTACAATGAAATACCCATCAATACCCACGCTACGTCAATTTTTAAAGACCCGAATGTTGCAAAACACTTGTCCTTCCTCCATGACAAATATGTACGTTGTTGTCCCCGCAGATAAAGCCCCAAACAACATCGTTTTTGTGTGTAAATAACATTACATAAACTGCTTGGTAAATGAATTAGGTATTGACAATTCACTTGGAAACTCAACATATACCCTCACGACATTTACAAAAAAGGAAATCTTGGATAATCATAGGTCTGTTCTATGTTCCTTTGGAATTTCAACCAAAGATGAAGAACTGGATTTTCCATCAATGTATTGGATACCTAAACTACATAAATGTCCTTACAAACAACGGTATATTGCTGGGTCTTCCAAGTGCCCCACGAAACCTCTTTCTTAATTATTAACATCTATTTTATCAGCAATCAAAGCCGGGCTCCAAAGTTATTGTGAAACTGCCTATTCTAGAGGTGGCGTGAATCAGATGTGGATAATAAAAAAATCCAAAGATCTTTTAGAGTACATACAATCTAAGACTCTTTCATCTTGCAATAGTATTAAAACATTTGACTTTTCTACACTTTACACAAGTACTCCCAATTCCAAACTAAAAGACAAATTGAAAGAGTTGGTATTACTTTGTTTCATTAAAAAGAATGGCGAACGTAGATACAAGTATCTTGTCTTGGGGAGGGATAAATCCTACTTTGTAAAGAATCACTCTGATTCAAACAAAAAATTCTCTGAAACTGACATTATCAAAATTTGCTGACTATGTTGAACGAATCTATCCCATCGAACTGGAGATAAAAGAGGGACGAAAGATACCAGAGGGACAGTCAAACTCATAGATCGAAAACAAACTGACAACGCCATGGCCAAAAATAAAAAGACAAACAGACAAATAATAGTACAGACGACACAACATAGAAAACTAAAGACTAAGCAACACGAACCCCACCAAAAACTGGTGGGTGATCTCAGGGAAGGGTATTGTAGTTACGACATAAAGAACATATCCGATATCATCTGTGAAACGGTTATTCCATAACAGTCAACCAACTCGTGATGGCGTCCGTAAAATATACGAAGGGATGATTTCAACTTCACCATTTGGAACTCTTGGTTTAATAGCTTCCTTGTGAGCAGCAATCCTCTATCAAGGAAATCATGATAGGAAATACAAGCCCGGGAATATCGTATCAATTGGGAGATATATACTCCGTATGCAGGCGCTGCTGGAATGTTGCTACATATAAATGAAAAGTTCACAATTGGGAAGCTGAAATCATCTCTTTTGTCGTAAAGTTTTGGTTTGAACCGACCCTCATTGTCAATTTCCAGATGTAAGTCAAGGTATGAGGCAGACTTAACTGTATCTGTAGCATCCTTTATCTCTAGTTCGATGGGATAGATTTGTTCAACATAGTCACCAAATGTTGTATTATTTAGTGAGAGAACATCATCTATATAGCGGAACGTAAAGTTAAAGGATATTGCTAACTTCTTATCTTTCTTCCAAAGAAGTTCCTGTATGAAGTCAGCCTCATAATAATAAAGAAACAAGTCGGCAAGAAGAGGGGCACAATAAAGGATACTTCAGATACAAAGCCAAAGTGTATGCATACATTACTTTTTTGCATTAAGTTTAAACGATGATTAAGTTTGGTTAAGTAAATGCATTTGTAAAAAATCACAAGGTCATGATAAAATCATTTTATTATACTGCAGCGTTAACAATAGAGTTCATGGTATATTTTCTTTATTTACTGCTATATTCATTGATTGTGATATGATAACAAATATATTTAGCAGAATAATGCGTATATACTGCGAACAAAAAAAAAAATACAAAATAAGTAAAGAAATCCACTTTTATTTTAAAACCATTTTCAAAAATAATTTCATTCATTTAATAAAACATTTAAACAAAAGAGTTGACTGTACTCTATTATCCTGGTTAATAAAAGGTGTAGAGAAACATCTAGAAGAAAGGTTGTTGCACACTATCTTTAACTAGATGTAGTTTAAAATCATGGGTTACGCATTTGGAAAAAAGTCACCAAGGTCTACCCACCAAACTGAACTATTGACTGTTTTTCCGCAACGCCGTTGCTTTATGCTTTGATAAATTGTAACATTTAAAAAAGAATTATTGCTATCATATTATATTTATTTATTCATTTTTTATATAGCATTTCATTTCTTCTTAATGAAATGAAGAGAACAGCACTTTATAAAAGCAAACAAGCAATCATAGTTGTATTCACACATTCAATATAATGCCACCTACCGGCTGTAATGCCTCGATTGAATGCGTTTACACTAATATAGGAGAAGCACTAGTTGTAACTGATGCAACAATAAGTCAACCAGAATGGAACTCACGCTTGACCTGTTACTTCCATTGGTACAACTACATACCAAATATTTATCAAACTGTTTCGACGGAGGAGAAAATCTGAGATGGAAAGATACGAAGAGGTAAATTATATGCAATCAGTGCTAGGAAACCAACGGATAACATCATGGCCAAAACAAATGTAACGACGGAAATCTCATAAATCCTTTACGACGATGAAAATCAGGGTAAACAACTAAAAAAGATAGTAAGCCACAAAAAAAGCATTACCGGGGAAGCCTCTTCTGTTAAACATACATCTACCAAAACGCCTGATTTTACAAAACACAGCACAGAAAGCTAAAGACTGGACAATTCGAATTCATCAAAATACTGGTTGATCTCAGTTGATTCCGTATTTGTAAGCAATACCTAATCCACTAGTTGGATCTGTCTTGATACTAATTTTAGTAAAAATCATCGGTTTTAAGGAGTAGTCAGTAATGTCAAAGTCGAAGACAAGTCGTCTCGATTCTTCCTTTATCGAATGAGAAAAACTTATCAAAGACACCCTGCTTATACTTTGTACGCCGGACGCGTTTTGTATAAATATCAAGACTTTGTGGAATCAATATTCCGGAAGGTTTATTTTTCGTCATTTGTTACACAGATATACTTCAATAACCAATCAAATCATGATTGAGTCCTGAAAACATTCAAAAATTACTTAAACTTTACCATTTGAAATTTTTGTTTTAGTTGAACAAAAAGATTCCAAATGGACAATACGAGAATGGAGTGGTGGTTACGACAATTGAAATAAATCCATTGTCAACTGTGACATCCATATTCCATAACTGTCAACGATCTAATAATGTAGTCCGTTAAACTTTCAAAAGGGATTACTTCCACTCCTCCACTCGAATCCTTGGTTCAATAGCATCTTTATAAAAGAAATCATGATAGTAAATTCAAGGCTTGGAATATCATATCAATGGAGAGATATATACTGCATATGCAGGCGCTGCTGAAATGTTGGTACCATCAGAAAAAAACTTTTGGGAAACTGAAACAATTTTTGTCATATTGTACTCAACCGAACCTCATTGTTAAGGATTTCACCGTATTTTGGATATCTTTATTTCAATTTAGATGCAATAGATGCGTTCAAAATAGTCACCAGTCCTTAACTTTGAGAATGAAACGACATTATCTTTATAACGGAATTTGATATTAAAGTTTAATGCTAGCTGATATCAATTTCCCTTAGAAGCTTCCGTATGACGTCTGCCACATAGGAATAAGTGAACAAGAAGATGAACATACTAGTTTTCCAGATGGTTGCCAATTGTCAAGCATCTGTCAAGGATTTTTGTTTACAAATCAAGAGCTTGTTTTTTAGTTGTTCTCCATTTTTTTTAATGTATATAACATTAGTTTTTCGTATGTTGTTTTCTACATTTTGTCATGTCGAGGCCTTTTATCGCTAACTATGCAATAGTGGTTTTGCTCATTGTTAACCTATAGTTGCTAACATCTACACCATTTGTTTATGTTTTGTCTCGTTGTATCTTTTGCAATCATACCACATCTCTTTATGTAATAAAGTATTGTTCATCCCTGTCTTAATCAAAGTAATTGTTACTATGTTTGTGAGGTCCTCGGTGGCCATGTGGTCTAAGTAGTTCATCTGATGAATCACTAGCTAGTCAACGCTGAGGTTTTAAGTTCGAACCTCGCATGTGGCAGATGCATTCGACTCCAATACTTAATGACTACTATTGTCAGGTATCCTGTCGAAGGTCGGTAATTCTCCCATGGCACTCCATCTTCCTCCACTAGGGAAACTTGTCCCACGATTTAGACAGCAGTGCTTAAAGTGGGGTTAAACACCAACAGTCATTCAATCAATTTTTGTTCGCCATCTTGTCAATATTACACAAATTGACAAGTTCCTTCAATAGCTTCCCTGCGAGCAACAATCTTGTATCAAGGAAAATATGACAGAAAACACAAGATCTGGAATATAGTATCAGCTTATCAACTGGCAGATATAAACTTAAAACGCAGTCGTTACTGAAATCTGCTTCAGTAATTTTAGATATGAACAATTTTATTTTAGAAATATTGCATAACAAAATGATGAAACACAAGTTTAACAATTTAAATAAGCATATTCATTCCACAAATTTACTTTTACACCAATGAATTAAAAAAAAAGTTACTGACTTAGAAGGGAGAAAAAAACTGAAATTTTCTTTCAGTGAATTTTGAAACAGGCTAAAATAATTTAATTTGTTGTGTACGAGAGGCAAATCTTAAAAATCATTTCGTATGAAAAGTATAGGTTTCGTGGAAAAAAAGGTATGAAAAGCAACTTGATACCACTTTAAACCTGAATTAATGCTTCATTAACCCCAATTGTTATTTACACATCGACAATTTCGTTCAAGGTAATCTGATGGACCAAGGTATCAATTCATATCAAGTTGAAAATAAGGAGTTGTGCCTTAAATATATTCAGTACTTTTATGAAAATAATAGCCAGATTATGTGGGATTTACATTTTGGGTAAAACTACCATTGGATGTATTTGGGACAAATCAAATAAGAATTTCGCGAACAGAAAAGCAAAATAACTTCAATGAAAACTACTGCATACATGTAACATGATTTACAAAGAAGAAAGAGTACAATAGATAAATCTTTCAAACGGAGATGTTCTCTTTTGTAATGAAAAAACATCAGTGTTTCGCACGATCGTCTTTTTGTTCACAGTAAAATGTTGGAAGGAGTCTGGCGTGACATTTTTGAGAAAACATGCGAATTTTGTACAAAATTGAGAATCAAACTTGACAAACATCCAAATGATTATGATATGCGTTTTCTAATTATAAATACAGTGCTTCTAATAACAAAATAAATGTGTTATTTGGAAAACTAGTAATATCGCAAAATACCAAATAAAAGCGATAACAGATTTGATAATTTTGAAATGATAAAAACTTTAATAGAATTGTTGTTCGAATCTTTCAAACGAATCACGAACAATGCATCCTTCTCTATAATGATCCAGAATTTTGGTAGATAAATTTATATTTTGCCTGGTCAGGTTAGTATAATGACCACATCAATACAAGATACAAGATATACTATTGTGCCAATCATGGCGCCCATTACTGAGCAAAATAATCATCGTAATTACAAAACAAAGTATACACCACAACATGATATTTTAACTAAATAAAATAACAAAATAACTGGTTAATAATGTATTAGTATGATTGTTATAAAATAAGGTTTAATACAAATTGAATGTAGAAAAAAAAGATATATAATAAAGTAATGATAAAAGTGACAAAATTTTATAATGATAAAATTAACAAAATTTTGTAAGTAACACACTGCAACCTAGACCAAATTAGTCATGAATCCATGTGTTCTGTATTGTATAACCAGATACATTGTAATCAATACTCCATGCGCTAACATCACTTTTAGTCATCTGAAAAAGATATTTGTGGTTTGAAAAAAAACATTTGATTGCGATTTATTAGTTTACGACACGCACGTGTTAGATAACCCTCATTTTAACGACTCAAATATAGATATGTGGAATTCTAATGATAGAAGATTAAGATAAGAGGAGCATTCACATAATACCTAAAAAAACCGTTAAAGGCCATCTTCAGCCATGTCCACTGCAACCTTTGTTTTAGTACTATCAAATTCGGCATGGGGAGCTCCAAATTTAGACAATTTATATCATTTAAATGGTGGCTCTAAGGCGGAAGATACCATCGAGTTCGACTTGTTTCCCAACAGAGATATCAACCCAGTGCAATTCATAAACGTATGATAATGGTTTTGTATACATGCCACGTGTTTCTAGAATAATCTTCATGGATTTTGTTAAGAAAAACAGATAAAAGATGTCAAAGAATAACAACCAAAGTCATTAACAGATCAGCAAAAGCGTATAAAGAGTGATTTGCCAAATGCAATAGTGATCTTAAGTTTAGTTCGACGGAAGAATTGTTTTACCATTGAGCCATAAGTGGACTACGGAACTGATTGACCACAGTTTGGAAAGAAAACAATATATGTACTAGAATTCAAATTTTAAATGACTATATTTCCCGACATTTTTCTCCTACCGGGGTTTAAATCCGTAGGTTGAAGAATGAAACGCACGTCTGGCGTACGAAATTGTAATCCTGATATATATGATGAGTTAATTATCTATTAGTGGCCTGTATACTAAAACATATGCATGTTTGTAAGGTTAATTCTATATGATTTAACTAAAACAAAACCTTAGATTATCGTTAACATTCTTTTATTTAGTTTTGTTGGTCGCTTACTATGAAGTTCCGCCTGTTCATTGATAATCTATATATGTAAACTCATTATAGATACAAGGATTAGCATTTTTGTTCGCCAGACGCGGGTTTCGTCTTCAAAAGACAAATTAGGGACGCTCAAATAAAAAAAGTTAAAAAGAATAAACACAGTTCCGAAAAACCCGAAACATTGCGTACATAGCACAGTATCAATGTAAGGCCAGAGATATGATTCGCACCTTAATGATTGATATTGGATCAATTTCTATGAAACTATTGAAAATTTCCCTAGTACAGTTATAACCAACTCAAAGCAAGAAACCATGGCTGAAAATATGGATTTTTGTATTTCCACAGAAAATCTGTACTCTGATGAAAACTTGGACTTAAACGATGGCTATACCATACCATGCGGTCAAATCCCTTACAGTCAAAAACCTCATGCTGAAATCGAATTAGCTGAAGAGGGAGTGCAAAATATAACAGAACTGAATAAGAGAAGATATCCTCTAAGTTTTCATGGTCAATAGAGGATATCTTCTGGAATTATCTAGATATATAACCGAAAAAAGAATTTAACCTTTCACTACAAGATAGGAACTGCCTACGATGAAAATGTCATCATTCCCAAAGCGGATAAAAACAATGTAACAGTCATTCAAAATCTCTCCGACTATCTCAAAGAAGGTGAAAAACAATTGAATGATAACATACATTATGAACAAATACAATCTTAGAAACACTCAGAAAAAAGTATATGAAGTAATTTACAAAATGATAGAAGAAAACTGTATTGATGAAATATCTTTCGAATACATTAAAAATGAACAAAATTATGTAAAAACACCTTTTGCATACTTCCTCCCTAAAGTTCACAAACTGGACAGTGAAAAAGAAAACAATCAAATAACAACTATAAATGTCCCTGGTAGACGAATTATATCACAGAGTAACGGAACACTTGAAAGAATAGGAAGATATTTCTTACTTCATTAGTAAAAACAGAAAAAACGTACATTTCTGACACAGGTGACTTAATCAGAAATATTGAAAACTGTACATTTGATAATAATGTACTACTTGATACATATGATCTAACATCACTATATACCAATCTCAGATTTGAGGAAATCACACAAGCTTTACAAAAAGCACTTGATAAAAATGAAGAAATTGAATATCCTATAACAAAACCTACCAATAAATTTCTGGTTGAAATAACAAAGCTGAATTTACCTTTCATGGAAATTCATATCGACAAATTATTGGAGCATCAATGGGAGCAACAGTTTCCACTGAAATATGTGACATTGCTATTTACAATCACATAAACTCAATCCTTGAAAACTCTCCAACTTCTGAAAAAATTATTTTTCATAAAAGAATGAAAGATGACGGACTACTGGTTGTAAAAGCAAAAGTGTCTGAAATTGATTTCCTGTTTGAAAATGCAAATAAACAACACAACCTGTTAAAGTTCACTTATGAATGCAATAATCATTCCATAAAATTTCTAGACCTTGAAAGCTTCAAAGGCGAACGCTTCAAAAATACTGGTGTTTTAGACCTGAAATGCTTTACAAAGAAAACCGAAAAATACCGATATCTTTTTCAAAATCAGTCTGTTCCTATTGTATCCTACAATTACACCAAAACCATTGCACCTAAAGTATTTAACTATAAGCAAGCATTTTAGGACCTTGATTTAGAAAAATACCTAAAAAAAAACCTCCGACATGTGACTGTTCCCACTCGCCTTTTATTTACAGCCCCTATGGCCATGTTATTACTGGGGATCTAAACATAATTCAACATGAACATCTCCGAAAGGTGATATCTCATGGTCCTAAGTTTAGAGAACCCTAACACATCAATTGGAACCATAACTTCAAAATAATTATGGATTCCACTGAGGACTACGCCAGAGCATGGGCTAAACGTTAAGAAGTTGAACTGGACACATTGTCAGAATGGGACAAACAAGCAGGTCTCTGATAAAACGTCGAATTCATAAGTTGAAAAACTGTGTGAATGATCGACCAAAGTCCGTTTTCAGAGACAAAGAAGCTGTGAAATGTCTATCATCTCTTCGCGATAAATATTTTGTTGTTCCTGCGGACAAAGCTTCAGATAATATTGTTTTGTAAGTAAATCGTACTACTATGAGTGTCTTGTAAATGAATTAGGAACAAATTAGCACTCAGGATATCCCACATACAAACATATTTCATTTGACAAGGATGAGATTTTGGCGAATCATAAGTCCTTCATGGCATCAATGAACATTACATTGAACAGCAAATCTGAGGACTTACCTTGATTGTATTGGATACCTAAGATACACAAAATTCCGTACAAACAAAGGTACATTGCCGGCTCATCTGCATGTTCTACAAAGGAATTGTCCATTAGATTGACAAACATTCTGGCCGCAGTGAAAGAGGGTCTCCAGAAATACTGTGAAACTGTTTACTCGCGTAGTGGTAATAACCATATGTGGATTCTAAAAAATCTTAAGAACTTCTTGATAATTTTAAATCTTGATCTTTCTCTTAAATTAATTCTACCAAAACTTTTGATTTTTGAACCCTGTATAGCACCATTCCTCATGTGAAATTGAAAAATCGTCTAAAAGAAATAATCCACAATGCTTTTCAAAATAAAAATGGCAGCATACGCTATAAATGTATTGCTTTGGGATACCATACGGCATATTTTGTTAATAGTGAACAAAAAAATCACGCTACACAGAGGAACAAGTGATCAGTATGCGGAAATTTCACACAGACAATATATTTGTTGAATTTGGAGGTAAACTTTTTCAGCAAGTTGTCGGCATTCCTATGGGAACGAACTGTGCGCCTCTTCTTATTTTCATATGATTCTGAGTTCCTTCAGACACTTGTCAAAAACAAGAAAATCGAAGAAGCTTGATCATTTAGTTTTACTTTCAGATATATTGAAGATGTTCTTTCCATTAACAATCCAAACTTTTTTTTTGGGGTTCAATTAATATATCCTCCAGAACTAGAAATTAAAGAAACAACAGACACGGCTTCCTCTGCCTCATTTTTAGACTTAAACCTCGAATTTGACACAAGTGGTCATCTCAATACCAGAATCTATGATTAGCGGGACGATTTTTTTCCCACCATAGCAGCAATATACCAACTTCACCTGTATATGGGATAAACATTTCCCAACTCATTCGGTATTCAAGAGCTTGCAGCTGCTACTCAGACTTTATAAAACACCACCAGTGTCTGAGCAGAAAGTTGATGAGCCAAGGTTATGTCAAAGAACGTCTCGTCCTGTTTCTAAAAAAGTTCATTGGAAGATACCAAGACCTTGTTGATAAATATTCCGTATCAACTTCACAAAAAATACATGATTGTCTTGAAGAATAGATTCTAGGTACTGACGTTGTTTATCATATTAATTACGTGTTAAAGTCCAGCCTTATTTGTCCTTTACTGTTTATCCATTTTTGATTATATACTTATGACGTGGATCGGTACTTATACATCCCGCCATTAATATTGTGCTATGGTCAATTTTGAGTTCTTGTCTTTCATTTTTGCTTATGTAATTTGTCTATATGCCATTTTGTGTTTCTTTGTTGAAACAGTTATTTGTTTTTATAGTGATTAAGATTACATTACAATGTTGCTGTACCCCAATTTTTGACGTTTTTACCTATTATGTCTGTTTGTTTTGCTCTCACATTGTTGTCAATATAATGGAATTCTATGCGACTGTCATACAAGTGAGAGGTTTAGCTAGCTATAAAACCAGGTTTAATTCACCATTTTCTACATAAGGAAATGCCTGTACCAAGTCAGGAATATGGCAGTTGTTTTCCATTCGTTTGATGTGTTTGAGCTTTTGATTTTGCCATTTATAAAGGACTTTCCGCTTTGAATTTCCCTTGGAGTTCGGTATTTTTGTTATTTAACTTTTTTCATAAAAACTCAAACCATCCCATTTCAAACTTTAAATCCTTTATTCAAGGCGAAGGTATTCGTAAACTTAGAAACACCAACACTGAAAGTGAATTTCAAACAAGAAAAAACCTCTTTATTGAAATTATTAGTTAGAGGATATAAACTGAAATTGGTAAAACAAATTCTATCACAAATCAAATTCCAAGAAAGACAAGATA